CCTGACTGAGCATGCCACGAAGGCAAGGGATCGACGGGTGGCCAAGACGGTGGTGCTACAGGACGGTGCGGTGGGCGAGAGAGCGACAGGAGCAAGACGCAGCGACTGGACTGGACACAGCGACCGGACTGGACACAGCCACCTGACCAGACTCTGCTACCGGGGGGGACGAAGCAACCTGACCAGACGCAGCTACCTGCGGGGGCGGAGTGTGCAGGACGAAGAGACCTGAGTGGGGCTCTCTGGTGAACGTGGCAAGAACTGCCCCGGTGGAAGAGTCCGTACAGATCGCAGTCCTCCCGTGCGCAGGAAAAGTGACTGTGATCCCCCGGTCCTGAAGGTATCCAACACCCACCAAGTTCCGAGAGAACGAGGGGATGTAGAGACCAGTGAGGAAACCAGAGGGGACAGCCGGGCACGGGAGGGTGGTCGAGCTGCGAGCAACTGCTGGTCCTGAAGTAGGATCAGCCAGGGCAACTGGGACTGGAGCCGAAAGAGGTGTGACAGTGGTGTGGTCGCGGAAGAAACACTGAGACGCGCCGGAGTCCAGCGTGAAGGAGAGCGACGCAACAGCAGTCGTCACGGCTGGGCTAGTGACTACACAAGCACCTACACTAAAAGCACAAGTATCGACACTAGCAACAGGCAAAGGTCCTAAGCTAGGTACACGTAAGCCAAGAGATCCGTACGTGACAGAATAAACAGCATCCATAGACATATCAAGCACAGGGAAACCACTACGAAACAGACCGGGCCAGATCAGGGGAGCCGACTCAGGCCCAAAACGCTCACGGTAAAGGTCGTCGAGGCGGCTGTAGCAGCGCTGTGCAGAGTGGTCAGGACGCCAGCAGGTAGTGCCAGCACCAGGGCCGGTCAAGATCCGGTACTGGCAGGGGCCGACGTTGCGGCCACCGCGACGAGCCCCCCAGCTGGCTGGGCCGCTGCTGCAGCCAACGCGACCTGAACCACCAGGCCCCCACGGCTGCTGAGGGCGCCACAGCTGCTGAGGGCGCCCCTGCTGCTGCGGAAGCCACTGCTGAAAAGGCCGCTGCTGCTGTCCCTGCTGCTGGAGAACCCTAGTGGACTCCATGATAAAAGCTAGCGGGGTGCAGGAGCGGCAGGCTAGGAGCGACAGGAGCGACAGGCTGCAGTGAAAAACGAGAACAACTAGGAGCGCCAGGTGAAACCAGGCGAGTAACTGCTGGAGCACGGAGCAAACTGAGCTAGAAGCGCCAGGTGAAACTAGGCGAGGAACGGCCGGAGCACGGAGCAAACTGAGCTACGAGCGAGGAGCGAGAACGGCTGGAGCGAGAACGGCTGGAGCTAGAACAGCTGGAGCACAACTGGCTGGAGCTAGAAACGGCGAGCTAGGGCTGGCTGGAGGTAGGAACGGCCGGGGCTAGAGACCGTAGGTGCGGCTGTCGGCTGCCGCTAGTAGAGCCACTGGCAGTGCAAAGTACGTGCGACAGTAGGGGCTGCAGTACTGACGGCTGCGCGATGTAGGCAACTGTGCAGGTCGTCCGGCAAGCAGGAACGCGGGCGACAGTCGCAGGCCCCCACTGTGAACCCTTTTTTTTTTTTTTTTTTTTTTAGGGTTTAATTTATTTAATTATTTTCTGGCACTAAAGCACTCCGGGGCGCGCTGCCTGCAGGGTGTGTTGCCTGCGGGGCACGCTACCCGCGGGGCGCGCCTCCTGTGGGGCGCGCTACCCGCGGGGCGCGCTACCCGCGTGGCGCGCTGCCTGCGGGGCTGGGGTGACGAGCCAGGGAGGGCGCCTGGGCGACGGGCTAGGACGGGCGCCTGGGCGACGGGCTAGGGCGCGGGCCTGGGCGACGGGCTAGGGCGGGCGCCTGGGCGACGGGCTGGGGCGGGCGCCTGGGCGACGGGCTGGGGCGGGCGCCTGGGCGACGGGCTGGGGCGGGCGCCTGGGCGACGGGCTGGGGCGGGCGCCTGGGCGACGGGCTGGGGCGGGCGCCTGGGCGACGGGCTGGGGCGGGAGCCTGGGCGACGGGCTGGGGCGGGCGCCTGGGCGACGGGCTGGGGCGGGCGCCTGGGCGACGGGCTGGGGCGGGCGCCTGGGCGACGGGCTGGGGCGGGCGCCTGGGCGACGGGCTGGGGCGGGCGCCTGGGCGACGGGCTGGGGCGGGCGCCTGGGCGACGGGCTAGGGCGGGCGCCTGGGCGACGGGCTAGGGCGTGGGCCTGGGCGACGGGCTAGGGGCGCAGGCTAGGGGCGCGGAGGAGGAGGGCGCTAAGGCGCGGAGATGGCGCGGAGGGCGCGGAGGCTAAGGCGCGGAGGGCGCGGAGGGCGCGGAGGGCGCGGACGGTGCTAGGGCGCAAGGGCGCGGAGGGCGCGGAGGGCGCGGAGTGTGCTAGGGCGCAAGGGCGCGGAGGGCGCGGAGTGTGCTAGGGCGCAAGGGCGCGGAGGGCGCTAGGGCGCGAGCTAGGCTAGGCTAGGCGAGAGGATCGACACCTACTCATGATACCATCTCAAAGTTAGCGAACAACGGAATGGTGAAACTAGAAAGTGTGGAAGTACAAATGTGCAACCCTAACAACTGTACTCCCTATTGTGCTACTCACTGTAGCCTACAAGCATAGAATTACATTTGACATAGGCGCATATGCGCTTATAATAAATTCATTTTTTTGAGGGGGGGCGCTTGTAATTGAGTAACGGCCATAAGCACCGGCGCTTATATAATGACAAATACGAAATTATATATTTAGAGCAACAAATTGTTCATTTTCTTCTTGCCATTTCAACCGATTCGAAATGTTTCAGTGTCAGAAAGCAGAATCTCGCGCAAGCGATATTCTGGGTTCACACACAGGCAAAGACACGTCATGGCAGCACATCCTGACTGGACGCGCAGCCAGTCAGGTCTTCGCGAGTCAAACGAAGCGAAATTGAATTCTGACTCGCTGCAAAAATGAGTTTCGTTACCGTTTTAAGCAAGAACTTCAATAAAAAATTGCACGTGCGCTTATAATAAGTAAAGGTTTTGTAGGGGAGGCGCTTATAATTGAGGACCGGCCATAAGGACGCGGTAAAAGTGCAAATATCACAGGATCGTCTGCACATATCGATCCCCGCAATCGATTGGGCAGATCGATTGGCGAAACGTGGCGATCGCGACGTTGTAACGATCGCCACTGAAATTTGATAGATCTCCCGCGATTTGTGATCAGTCGAATTCACGCACTGTCCAAACAATTGGGCCAAAAAGCGTACTGTAGCATGGTTACAGCGTAGTAAATGGGGTAACCGACCCGCACATCGATCGCGACTGACGATCGTTCGTCTACTTTTACCGCGTCCTAAGCGCCATGCTCCAGATATAAGCGCCGGCTGTCAGATTTATATGGCTTAGCCTATGTAGGCTATAGTACAACACATTTCTAGGGTTTGTACTTGTATCCCATCCTCCCACTAGTCAATCCATTCCTTGTTCTTTCACATGGTATAGAGCAGGTTCCCTAGTGGGAACGTTTCCTAGGGCCCACCGAAAATCGTTTTTTTTTTTCCTGCCCGGAGCGCGCTCCGCCCCTGCCCGAGTCGCGCCCCGTGTTCCTACCCTCCCGTCGCGTCCCCTGCCCTTAGCGGCCCGTCGCGCTCTCCTACGGCCCCGTAGCGGCCCCTCTCACGGCCCCTCGCGGCCCCTTCGCGGCTCCCTCGCGGCCCCTCTGCGGCCCCTCGCGGCCCCTCTCACGGCACTTCGCGGCCCCTTCCGGCCCCTCGCGGCCCCTTCGTGGCCCCTCGCGGCCCCTTCGCGGCCCCGTCGCCGCCCTTCGCGGCCCCGTCGCCGCCCTTCTCGGCCCCGTCGCCGCCCTTCGCGGCCCCTTCTCGGCCCCGTCGCCGCCCTTTGCGGCCCCTCACGGCCCCGTCGCCGCCCTTCGCGGCCCCTCACGGCCCCGTCGCCGCCCTTCGCGGCCCCTTCTCGGCCCCGTCGCCGCCCTTCGCGGCCCCTCACGGCCCCTTCTCGACCCCGTCGCCGCCCTTCGCGGCCCCTCACGGTCCCGTCTCGGCCCCGTCCCCGCCCTTCGCGGCCCCTCCACAGCCCTTCGTGGCCCCTTCGCCGCCCTTAGCGGCCCCTTCTCGGCTCCTCCGCGAACAGCAGCAGCCGCCGACTACAGCAGCCGTCGCCGCCGCCGACAGCAGGAGCCGCTGCCGCCGGTGCAGTGACAGCAGCAGCAGCCGCCGCCGCCGCAGCTGCCGGAGCCGCGGCCACCGCCATCACCGCCTGGAGCAGCCGCTGCCGCCGCTGCCGTGACAGCTGCCCCCGCTGCTACCGAGGCCGCAGCAGCCGCCGCAGCCAACAGCAGGAGCAGCTGCAGCTGTCGCGGCCCTGTCCTTGCCGGCGCGCCTCGGCCCTGCCCCGCCACTTACAGCACTCTACCCACCCGTCCTGGTAATGCACCGCCGAGCCACGCCTCTGCGACTGCACTGCTCCTAGCCTGCTGCTGCTGCCCCTACCCTGCTGCTACTGCCCCTAGCCTGCTGCTACTGCTGTCATGGCTACCCCTAGCGTCCTCGTCTTTGATGCCGAGGGTCGGGCTGTCGACTTTGAGGTCTGGGTCGATGATCTGCTGCTTTTCCTACAGTGCGATAGGAAAGACGGTCTCTCACTGTTTGATCTCACGTCTGGCGCCTCTACTGCCCCTGCTGCTGATGCTGACAGCACTGTTCGCTCACAGTGGGCCACACGCGATGCTGCTGCCCGTCTTGCTGTGCGTAGTCACTTGCCGTCCTCTGAGCGCGCGCACTTTAGTCAGTACAAGAGTGCTAAGACCTTGTATGATGCTGTAATTGCACGCTACTCTTCCCCTGCCACTGCTGCCCTTAGCCGCCTCATGCTGCCGTACCTGTTCCCTGACCTCGCCGCTTTTCCCACAGTCGCTGACCTCATTACGCACCTTCGCACAAGTGACGCCCGCTACCGCGCTGCGCTTCCTGCTGAGTTCTGCGCCAAGAACCCCCCCCCCCCCCCCCCCCCCCCCATGTACATCACCCTCTACTACCTAGTCACCCGGCTCCCTGACTCCCTTCGCTCGGTCAGGGACAACTTCCTCTCTGTTTGCCCCACCACACTCACCGTTGACCTCCTCGAGGAGCGCCTCCTGGCAGCTGAGAAGAGTATAGTCGCTGTAGGAGCCTCTCGTGGTGACCCGCGTACCCCCTTCTTTGAGGGGTGCTCCCCCTCCCCCCTTTTGCCCTCTGTTGCCTCTACTTCTGCCGTCGACTTCGTTGGCACCGAGTCGGTCGGCGCTGCGTCTGCCCCTAGCGGGAGACGCCGCACCGGCAAGGGCAAGGGGGGCAAGGGCGCTGGAGGAGCTGGCGGGGGTGGTGGAGGTGGCGGTGGAGGCGGCGGAGGGGGTGGGGGTGGCAGTGGGAGTGGTGGCGGGGGTGGGGGCTTCAGTGGCGGCGGTGGAGGCGGAGGCGGCGGCGGCGGTGGCGGTGGGAGCGGAGGAGGAGGAGGTGGCGGCGGCGGCGGTGGAGGTGGCGGCGGCAGCGGTGGAGCGGGTCGGGGTGGCTCTGCGCAGCGGGGTGGCTTTGGTGGTGGTCAGGGCCAGCAGCAGCAGCGCACTCGTGAGACCCCGCCCCCCCAGCAGCTTCGTGAGTGGTACGCTGCGCGTCAGCGGGGTGGGGGTGCTGGTCCTTGTGCCTACGTCCTGCGTACCGGCGACCGCACTGGTGAGCCGTGCGGTGGTCCGCACACCACCCAGCGCTGCTTCGGCCGCCTGACGGACGCTTGGCGTCTCCAGTTCCCTGACGCCACTGAGATCCCCCGCTGGGGCGAGCTGCTTAGGTCGGGGGTTGCTATCTTTGATCTGGATTATGATGCTATTCTTGCTGCCATGTATGTTGTGTCTACTAGTGATGAGGGCGACTGTTACCTGTGTGTTCCGCCTGACCCGGGCATTGAGGCTGCTGCTCCAGGTGCTGGTGAGGCTGCTGCTCTAGGTGCTAGTGAGTCTGCTGCCCCAGGTGCTGGTGAGTCTGCTCTCTCAGGTACCACGTCGGCTCAGGCCTTGCACACGTTCACCCTCGACTCGGGTGCTTCCCGCTCCTTCTTTCGAGACCGCACCACACTCACGCCGCTTAGTCGGCCGGTTGCAGTCTCACTGGCAGACCCCTCTGGGGGTCCGGTCCTTGCCCACTTCTCCACTGTCTTACCGTGACCCTTCCTTTGAGTCCACTGCTGCATCTTCCTTAGTTGCTGAGCTGGTCGAATTCGCTGCTCACTGCCGTCTAGACTACGCTGCTAGTCTTGTTGCTGAGTCTGAGTCTGTCTGTCCTCCGTCCGTCGGGGGTGAGTGTGCTCTTGGCACGGACGTCCTTGAGGACAGGCAGGAGGAGTTCCAGTGCTTTGCTGCCGCTTTACCTTATCTCGTGTCCATGCTGCTTGCCCCTGAGGGAGACCCGGATGCACCAGACATCCCGACTCCGCGCTCTTACGCGGAGGCGGTAGAGGGTCCCTACTCCTCTCAGTGGCAGACAGCCATGGACGCAGAGATGGCTTCCTGGAAGTCCACAGGCACCTACGTCGACGAGGTTCCCCCACCTGGGGCGAACATCGTCAGTGGCATGTGGATTTACAGGGTGAAGCGGCCGCCGGGTTCTCCGCCTGTCTTCAAGGCGCGTTACGTGGCTCGAGGCTTCAGTCAGCGGCAGGGAGTTGACTACTTCCACACCTTCTCCCCTACCCCGAAGATGACCACTCTTCGGGTGCTGCTACACATAGCCGCTCAGCGTGACTACGAGCTTCACTCTCTTGACTTCAGCACTGCTTTCCTACAGGGCAGCCTGCACGAGGAGATCTGGCTGCGCCGCCCTCCTGGCTTCACTGGGTTGTTTCCTCCTGGTACCCAGTGGAGCCTCCGACGGCCAGTCTACGGTCTCCGCTAGGCTCCCCGCGAGTGGCACGACACACTGAGGACTACACTTGCGGCTCTTGGGTTTGCTCCTTCTACGGCTGACCCGTCGCTGTTTCTACGCACCGACACCTCGCTGCCGCCGTTCTACATCCTCGTGTACGTCGACGACTTGGTCTTTGCTACTGCTGACACTGCTGGACTCGCCCACGTGAAGTCGGAGCTGCAGAAGAGACACACGTGCACAGACCTGGGTGAGCTGCGCAACTATCTTGGCTTGCAGATCACCCGGGATAGACCACGGCGCACCATTACCTTGACTCAGTCACACATGGTGCGGCAGGTCCTTCAGCGCTTCAACTTCATGTACTCCTCGCCTCAGGCCACTCCTCTGTCTACGCGCCACTCGCTCTTAGCTCTGCCTTCGGATGAGTCCGTAGAGCCGAGTGGCCCGTACCCAGAGCTTGTTGGCTGCCTCATGTACCTGATGACCTGCACTCGTCCTGACCTAGCATACCCTCTTAGCATCCTGGCACGCTATGTTGCTCCTGGGAGACACCGACCAGAGCACATGGCTGCAGCGAAGAGGGTGTTGCGCTACTTGTGCAGTACGTCGGGCATGGGGCTTGTGCTTGGAGGGCAGAGTCCAGTGGTCCTCACTGGTCATGCAGACGCTTCTTGGGCTGACGACTTGGCTACGCAGCGGTCGTCACAGGGTTACACCTTCAGCCTTGGTTCCGGCTCTGTTTCGTGGCGGTCTACCCGCTCGTCTTCTGTTCTCGGCTCCAGCTGTGAGGCCGAGATCTACGCAGGGGCCATGGCTGCACAGGAGTTACGCTGGCTCACCTACCTGCTGACCGACCTGGGAGAGCCGCCTCGTTCTACTCCAGTTTTGTACGTAGACAACAAGGCCATGCTGGCCTTGTGTCGGGAGCACAGACTGGAGCACAGAACGAAGCACATTGCTCTTCGCTACTTCCTTGCTCGTGAGCTGCAGCAGCGTGGTCAGCTGCGCCTTGCTTACGTGGCCTCTCAGGCCAACACTGCTGATATCTTTACCAAGGCACTTCAGCCTTGTGATCATCAGCGCTTTTGTACGATGTTAGGTCTTGTGCCTACTTGGCCTCACTTGCTCACTTCTTGACCTTGCTTGTACTGTGATCTATATATACCTGCACTTGCTTGTTTACCTTTATATATACTCCTGCATGTGAACTGGCCTTGTGGCCTTGACCCTGTGCTCGGACTGTGTGGTGACGTTGTGATCCACCCTGAGCGTGTTTGCTTTGCTTTGCTTGACTGGTCTTGTGACCCCTAGTTCTCCCCCACTTTGCCTATGGGGGTGTGTCAGATTTATATGGCTTAGCCTATGTAGGCTATAGTGGGGTAGCACATATGGGGTACAACACATTTCTAGGGTTTGTACTTGTATCCCATCCTCCGACTAGTCAATCCATTCCTTGTTCTTTCACACCGGCGCCTTTAATAGGACGGCGCCTATATCCGGGGCCATACGGTACATGCTAAGTCATTCTCTGACAAACAACAAGACAACAATGCTGTTTTAAATTTGTTATTTCTTGGCATTCAGTATATTGTTAGGCTTGGAATGCCCTGTCAATCACATATGCCATGTCAAACCAATGATTGAATAAGAGAAAATGGGGAAAATGGTTGATGATTTGCTTGGGGGTTCTCAGCATCTATTTGCTGTGTTCTCCTATGATAATGTAGATTTTTGCCTCCCCTACTACACCCCATCATGGTGTCCCACTGCTTCCATGGTTTTGAACCTTTGTGTTTTGATCAAATCGATGCTTTACACTAAGACTACATTTAACGTCGTTTTGTGGAGGCCAACATCTAAATTTGCTTGTTTTTTTTTATGCTTTGTTGTTTTGGAATCAAGTGCTTTAAACAGAGATTGACTCCCTGCATTGTCCTTTGTAGTGTGGGATTTGGTGAGTTGTATGTGTTTAGGGAGGCATGCTTGCAATCCTGTTTGATTTAGGTTTACACATTCTTGTCCTAGGTGTAGATTGTAGTAGCGCATAAAAAGGGGTGGTGATTTTCGAGAGTGGATATGTCATACGCGTGACTTCCCCTCGATGGTACTATTTTTTCGGCGCATACGAGGTACATTTTCGACGAGCCACATGCAGCGAACTTAGAAGCCCTATTTCGAGTTGTATAAAAGCGATTGGGCGATGGAATTTGGGCAATTTTGGAATTCTACCACCTCTGCATGCATTCGAAATGGAAATCATGGACATACACGTGGCGGCTCAGAGGATAACTCTCGAAATTTGCGTGTGGAGGATGTTTATTGGTCGAAATCTGTTGTTGACGGATTTTCAGAGTGCACTACAACACTGAGTTTGTCCCCATTCGAGGGCCTTTTAGATCGCGGCTCACTACGGTTTTGATGGTTTAGGGTGGCACTGCCTTTGTTACTGTGAAGAATGAGGAATGATTGAATAAGGAATATGAAGGGTACAAGTATGAAACCCTAGGAAACCATACCCCTTAGTGTCTACCCCACTACAGCCTAGATAGACTATAGCATATAAGTTTGACACACCCCCATAGGCAAAGTGGGGGAGAACAAGGGGTCACAAGACCAGTCAAGCAAAGCAAAGCAAGCTCAGGGTGGATCACAACGTCACCACACATTCCAAGCACATGTTCAAGGCCACAAGGCCAGTTCACATGCAGGGTTACATATATAAAGGTAAACAAGCAAGTGCAGGTATAGATAGATCATAGTACAAGCAAGGTCAAGAAGTGAGCAAGTGAGGCCAAGTAGGCACAAGACCTAGCATCGTACAAAAGCGCTGATGAGCACAAGGCTGAAGTGCCTTGGTAAAGATATCAGCAGTGTTGGCCTGAGAGGCCACGTAAGGAAGGCGCAGCTGACCACGCTGCTGCAGCTCACGAGCAAGGAAGTAGCGAAGAGCAATGTGCTTCGTTCTGTGCTCCAGTCTGTGCTCCCGACACAAGGCCAGCATGGCCTTGTTGTCTACGTACAGAACTGGAGGAGAACGAGGCGGCTCTCCCAGGTCGGTCAGCAGGTAGGTGAGCCAGCGTAACTCCTGTGCAGCCATGGCCCCTGCGTAGATCTCGGCCACACAGTTGGAGCCGAGAACAGAAGACGAGCGGGTAGACCGCCACGAAACAGAGTCGAAACCAAGGCTGAAGGTGTCACCCTATGACGACCGCTGCGTAGCCAAGTCGTCAGCCCAAGAAGCGTCTGCGTGACTAGTGAGGACCACTGAACTCCGCCCTCCAAGCACTAGCCCCATGCCCGACGTACTGCACAAGTAGCGCAACACCCTCTTCGCAGCAGCCATGTGCTCTGGTCGGTGTCTCCCAAGAGCAACATAGCATGCCAAGATGCTAAGAGGGTATGCTAGGTCAGGACGAGTGCAGGTCATCAGGTACATGAGGCAGCCAAAGGCAGAGCTGAAAGCGAGTGGCGAGTAGACAAAGGAGTGGCCTGAGGCGAGGAGTACGTGAAGTTGAAGCGCTGAAGGACCTGCTGCACCATGTGTGACGGAGTCAGGGTAATGGTGCGCCGTGCTCTGTCCCGGGTGATCTGCAAGCCAAGGTAGCTGCGCAGTTCACCCAGGTCTGTACACGTGTGTCTCTTCTGCAGCTCGGACTTCACGTGGGCGAGTCCAGCAGTGTCAGCAGTAGCAAAGACCAAGTCGTCGCCGTACACGAGGATGTAGAACGGCGGCAGCGAGGTGTCGGTGCGTAGAAACAGCGACGGGTCAGCAGTTGAAGGAGCAAACCCAAGAGCCGCAAGCGTAGTCCTCAGTGTGTCGTGCCACTCGCGGGGAGCCTGGCGGAGACCGTAGACTAGCCGCCGGAGGCTCCACTGGGTACCAGGAAGAAACGACCCAGTGAAGCCAGGAGGGCGGCGCAGCCAGAT